TGCCCCTATTACCAAATTATTGCTTTCATTTAAATAATCCCACTGCAACATATTTAGTTTTTTTTCCGTTAGAAAGGAAATTCTGTAAAGTTTCAAAGTTTATTATGTATTTCAAGCTAAACAATGTAGAGTTAAATGTAAACTGTAAATGCTTTCTCCTCAACAGTAATTCAACAGAGGAACATGATTTTAAACCTGCACTGCAAACCTGCACTGCAACTTAAGACACTGCACTTCATTTGAGATTTGTGAATCCTTCGGAGCATTTTTAGAGTTTGTTCCTAAACATTGATACACATAGTGTTCACATACTACAAGAACAGATAATCCAATAAGAAAAATCAAAATTGTTTTTTAAAAAGGACAAACTTTTTTTCTTTCTTTCTTTCTCTTTCTTTCTTGCTATTTGTTCCTTCCTTCCTTCCTTCCTTCCTTTCCTTTATATTTTATTTATTTATTTATTCATCCCATTTATATAGCTATATATATATATTTTAGCAACTCTGCATTATCACAATTTATTTTGATGCTTAGTGCTTAGTAAAATCAATGTCTTTTTTTTTGTATCTTGATGTTTTACTCTAAGTTATGACCAATCTTTGGTCACACACTAATTTTTAAGTCAGCAAAATTCCTAAGAACAAATATGTTCTTGTCTTTTAAGTGTTTCTGAGAAGATTCAAGTATACCATTTGGTTTCTCCTGAATCAAAACCTTTAAACAGAATGAACTCACATAATCATTCAAGACTAGAGAATGATTGTGGAAAACAAAGCTACATTGCTACAGAAAGCTATGACAAATATGTCATTACAGCTTTTTACAGGACTACAATTGACATAGAGGAGGAGGAGGCCAATCTCTTTCTGAAAATCAAACAACACCTGTGCTAAATGTGGCACACAAAATCAATATTTAGTTTGCAAATTTTAGATAAATTTCCACATTTTGAGCATGAGTCAGCTACAAAAGTAAAATATATTATACTATCAAGCCACATATTAAATTGGATATGATTTAGTTAAAATATATCCTGCAGCAGTTCTACTACAAATTAAAATAAAGACCACCATAGCTAATACAGTTTATTCCTTGCTGAGCAGCCTAATGGAAAATTCAGAAATAAGATAACATGTAAATTAGAAATTTCTATGGAAATTGTATTATCTAATCAGCTGATTCTCAGCAATAGATTACAGCTATACAGCTTAATATACTTACAAATCTTGCAGTATGACTTCTAAATTATATATAATGCAGAACTGTAAACTAAAGTATTCTAGAATGTATACAAAAGAGTCTGCTTCATAATTTTTGTCTTTCTGCAGCCTAAATTCATAACATATACTGGTAGGTATGTTCACATGTACATCAAGTAACAAGCCATAGCTAGAATCAGTACACAATTCCATTCTGGAATCATGTGAATGTGTGAACAGAAGGCAAGTCTATAGTATATCTATGAATTATCAGATTTTTTTAAAATTAAATTTGGAGCCCATTTCATCTCCTCACAGAGTAACTCTAACCAGTCAAATCGGACTAGTATCAAACTTATTCAAAATTTTGAACAAAGACTGGCAATCTCTGAAATCAATTACTTGGTGTAAAGAAATTTAGTTGACAAAACAGTAAGCACCCAGAAAAGTAAACGGAAGGAAATGTATCTTCTAAACAGAGTGTAATACAGTATTCTTACAAGGGAAGCTAGCTATATTATGCAAATAATTAAATGAAACAGAAACTGAAAAACATAGAAATCAAACTGTGCATATAATTAACCTGTAAATGGTATCATTTCTAAGACTCAGGAATTATATTTATTTTGCTAATTCATTTATCAAAATTATATAAGCCACTCATCTCACAAATGTGAAACTATTTTTTTTTAAAAAAGAACATTGTATTTTTTGCTTTTTCTTTCATTTTTGTCACATATAAATTAAAACAGTAGCAAAATCCCACAAAAGGCTACTTTACAGATAATTCCACTTAGTACCCTGGAGCAAAAGTATATGGTTTATATTGACTTTCAGGGTAAGACTTCATCAATTTAAATTTTAAAAAAAATGAATCTCAAGTTTGAATAAGTTTTTTAAGCAATAAGAAAAAAGCAACGATCCTGCACATTTCTATTCAGGTAGCTCATCAGAGATCAATGTAGAAAACTAATTTATTAATCAGCATAGACAGAAGGTACAGTATGGTCTCCTAGGACTTTAGTACTTTTAACATTTAACATAGTTACTTTCTTATACCAAAGATTCAAGCTCCATTTTTAAGAGAGATATAGTTTGGCATCCATCAATTTTCCGGCATCAAACTGGAATTGATCTGTAAACTCCATTTTTGTTCTGTTTTAAGAGTTCCCCACTGCCAAATGAGCTTATATACCAATTGTTGGCTGTTTTGTCTTTGTCAAAAGCAATTTATTGCTTCCCTGGCAGCTTGCTGTGTGAGGAGAACAAGAAAAAAGAGTAGTCAGCAAAAGGATACCAAAAAGAGAGCATATCACTGCATATTGCCTTTGGCTCTGCTGCTACCCACTGCTTGCTTCAATCAATCCACTATTAGCATACAATGCAACCTCCAGTTGATTGCTTCTGCAGGAATGCAGTCCTTAGAGGGGGAAAAAGGATGCCCATTCCTGGTTAGATCATAGTTTGAATCGCTCACTGAAACTCTAATGCAAAGTATTATAAAATCTATGGATGAAAGCCATTCTGAGATGCCATATAGCCCCCTGGGATTCTACAAGCAAGCACACTTCTGGGAAATATAGCCTGTTTCATTTTGGTTGCACATCAGATATCTAAAGCAAAGCCACAAACTTCTTAAAACACTCTCAGAAAACAGTTTGATGATAATCTCCATATGTATTTAATGGGTTTCAAGTTCTGGATATTTTTTTTAAAGGGCGGGTTGTACATTAATACAAGCAGAGCTGGAAAAATATCTGGTGCCAGAATGCTCATTTAGAAGAGAAAAAAGTTTTAAGTTATAATGTACATTGTAATGTATAATGTACATTAACAAATTGAAAATTCATTAAAATGGAAAAATTGCAATTATAAATATGTAATTTAGATTAATAGTTTGTAATCAGATTGCTATTTTAAGAAGCATAGGGAGGTTTAAAAAACTGAGATCCAAGTGAAGATATCTATCCATTATTAAGATAAGCATTGTATTCCTCTGTACTGAGATTATCCACTTACATACAGTAGTTCATCACGATATGCAAAATGTCATAACTGTACTCTGAGGCTTTAAAACCAACAAACCACATTTACAAAACCAAAGCTCTTCTGTTAGGAAAATGAAATGTTTCTGCCCTTCACTTCTCTTTAAAAAGTCGCTCGAGAACTCATGACCAATGCAGCGTTAAATTAGCTTGGTCCAAACCCCCCATCCCCGTTAAATAAAGATGTAACTTGTCTCGCTTTCAACAGTAGTGCAGCAAAGTCCGAGAGGGCTTCACAAAACCCTCCTGTGTTAGGGAACGGAAACGCCTAATGAGATTAGTTGGTGTGTGCAGACATTACTTAGCCATGACTAAATGGGCTCCCTTCCTGCAACCAGTGGAAAATTCAGGGAACTTTTTTCCTCCTGCAGCATCATGGTCCCTTAACCTTCAGCTAAGCCAGATCCAAAAAACAACCCTCCCGCGATATCCCCCCCCCCGCTTCCCTCTCGTGGAACCGACGGTGGACAAGTTTAAAATGGACGATGGGGTTGCTTAAGTGGAAGAAGCGGATGAACGGGAAGGAGCCTGGCTCGCTCCCTTTTTCTCCAGACCACAAAGACAACCGTAAAAGAGCGAATACACATAAACCTGAGAAGGAGAAAAACCACAGAGTTTCTTTGTGAGCTGCAGTGACTCATTTTCAAGATGTTGTCTGCTGCCAGTTTCAAACCGGAAGCGCATGGCAATTAGTCTTGCTGTTTCCAGACGAGCCAGAAACTCTCCCAACGCTCCCCCCCTTCCTCCCAAAGCCCCTTGGACGCTCTTATTCCTCTCATTGCAGCCCGAAACAATTTAAGCAACTCCCCTAACTTTAAGGAAGTCCAGACCGGTGTACTGCCCCCTCCCCTCCCCCTCCCCGCCAATCCAAATCCATTGCCTCAAAAATTAGCGCCCCCCCCCAAACTCCGGGCTCCTACAAGCGAGCTATTATCGCCACGAGCCTCGGACGCACGCAAAAGCGCTCCCTCCCACGCACGCCGGAGTCGGCTCGTGACAGCCTTCGGCGCTCCTTCGGAATAAAGGCACGAAACTGTCAGACGCGCTTTCTCTGCCCACCCCCACCCCCTTTCCACAAGCGCTGACCCCAAAGCTCTTTTCTCCACACAGAACAACAGGGCCCTCCGCGGCCGCCGCGCTTCTGCAGAAGCGCTTGCAGCGAGCGGGGGCAACACCGGCGCGGGACTCCGACCCCATCCCGCTACACAACACCCCCCCCCGCCTCCAGCGAAAGACCCTTCTTTGCTTTCCCTGTTGGCCAACGGCAGGTGGAGGCTGCTCCTGGCAGCCCCCTCACCTCATCCCTCTCTGTCGCCTCCAGAGTCCCTTCCTGCCCTGCCCGTGGGGTGGGGGAGAGAAAGGTCCTTAAGTCGTCTTCACTCCAGCAACCGAGGTTTCGGAGTTTTTACTCCCCCCCCCCGCATGCACACATTAAGCGCCAGGTGGCACTTCGCCAGCAGCAAGAAAAGTCACCCCAAAACTTCCGCCCTCACTGGCCCCCAAACTCACGCACACACGGCTCGGATCCCTTCCCCTCCTCTCCCCTTCCCTGGCCGCCCCAACCGGATGCCTTGCGGCGAGTCAGGGATTCCCCCCCCCCTCGGCACGACCCTTCTGGTGTTTTATCGGGAAAAGTTAAATGCTCCCGCAAGTTATTTTGGAACCGAAGCCTGGCATTGGCATTCGGCTCCCACCTGTCTCCCCCACAGCCCTTTTCCTTGTCTCCAGACTCTCTTCCAACTTTAGAGTTACGTACCCAGCGCCTGGTCTGGTGGGCTTCTCTCCAGTTCTCTTCTGGCCGTTTTAAAGAGAGCTGCGTAGAATCCTCCGGTTTTCCATGCTGACAGTCCTCTAAAACGCTCTGTTGCTCTTGTAATGAGATCCTGATTTTTCCCCTTGTTTCTTTCTCCCTTTCACACACACACCCCTTTGCTAGTGTGTGTGCAAATGTGTGTGTGTGTGTGTGTGTGAGTGAGAGAGAGAGAGCAGGAAGTTAGAGCAGTCAGACAGAGAGCCGGCTCACTTCCTTTCCTGCATTATTCCCCAGGCGGTTTGCAGTCTGTGTAAACAGGCTTTTCCTCCCTTCTCCCCTCTCTGGCCACTGATGTGCAGGCAGCATTGCTGTAATATAAGACACACACAGAGTAAAGCGGTAACGGGACTCGGCCTCACACACAAACCAAGGAACTCCAGCAGTTCCCTCTGACCTCCACCTCTTCCTGTTCTGCACCCCCGGGGAGGAGCTTTAAACCAGACTTACAATTTTGCTCATCAGCCTTAGCTACTTGAAACATAAGGTAGCTTTAAAACAAAAACAAAATAAACACAGACAACATCCAGCTGTAAGCGATTCAACTATTTTTCTGGGCTTAAGTGAAAGAAATTGCAAATACCTTTCATATACACGGGTTAAAAGTTGTTTGACTTGATTGCATGATAGACTAAAACCTGAAAGTCCATAGAATGCATTTATTATATTGCATGTATACAGTGCATGTATCAATATTCCTACCGATGTAGTTAAATAGTTAGAGAGACATCAAATTCTGTTCTTCAGATTTTGTCCATCATGCTCACTGTTCTAATAATTCTGACAGATTTAGAAGTACTTGGTTAAAATACTTCTAAAATACAATTTTAGAAAAATCCAAAGATAACATTTCATTTGCAATAATCACTATCACAAGTCTTCCACTATTCCAGTTTGGAAGTGAACGTCTATATACAGGCTTTGCTGGGATTTAAAAGCTTATTTGTGTATAGAATTGTAAACTCATTTCTTGATTAAATAATCTGTACTATCCTTCTCATCCAAAAAGTTTTCTAAAGAGGTTTATAGATCAATAAATAAAACATAGTCTCTGCTCTCAGACTTACACCTGAAAAATGTTCATTAAAAAAGGAAACAATGATAGGGAGAGATAAAATGTTTCATTCAGTCAGAACACAGTAATCAAATGAGCAGAAAACTACTAGCTGGAAACATTAACAACAAAGCTACCAAAGAGAATATACTGCATACATAAGTGAATAATTTGCAAGATAGTCAAACATTACCTCAAAAATGAGGAGGATGATAAAAAAAGTTAAATAGAAAAGTTAAGAGGGCCAAAATTCTATAACATATTTTGAGGAATGTGATTTGCACTACAATTGAAATTTAGCTTGAATCCACACCACAGATGAGGCAAGATCTAATGAAGTCCAAGAAGGTGCCAACATAAATTTCTTTTCTTATAAAATGTAAATATTGTACAAATTAGTAGAATGGGAACAAATGCATTCCTAGGCAAAGTAGAATGTAGAGAGTATTCAATAAGAATTAAAAAATATTTAGCCCAACAATATTTTTAAAAGAAACAAAAGCAAAATAACAGCAGGGAAGATACATGCTAACACAGTGGGTCTCAACCTTCCTAATGCCGTGACCCTTTAATACAGTTCCTCATGTTGTGGTGACCCCCAACCATAAAATTATTTTATGTTTTCCGTATCTTTTCAAAAATATGTGTTTTTCAATGGTCTTAGGTGACCCCTGTGAAAGGGTCGTTCGACCCCCCAAAGGGGTCCCGATCCACAGATTGAGAGCCACTGCTCTAGAAAGTTCTGTCCTTTTTGATAGAAATAAATATCTTGTTTTATGAGTATTGCTTGCTTTATGAATCATGTATTTTATTTGTGTCAGTCAGCTATTTTGATTGCTTCCGGCACACATTATGGCTGATCTAAGAACTTTTTCCTCGCCATGTTGTTCCATGCAAATAAAATTAGGATAGCAAGCCTAGATTTTATGGACAAGTTCAAAATGATCTGTCACTTCTCTCAATGGAAAATACCATTCTTATCTGCCCCTTTTTGTTCGTACAACAAACAGAGCTGAGAAAAATCTAGCACCTCAAATTTCAAGTTAACTGAAAAATATTTCCACTTTCTGCAGCTCTGTTTCTTTGAAGAAATTTCAAATGCCATTCATCTTTGCTTCCCTTTCTCTGCCAGGAGTCACCAGAGGAAGGCAGAGCCAGCATTTACAGATCTGTGTTTACCAACTCATGCAAAGAAATGATGTGCTACATG